CAGGCTGGGGACGTGGCTCAGTGAAGAGATCCTGGGTTCAACCCCCAGGACCGTGAAAAAAAAAAGATGCTAAAAACCAGTAAACAAGCAAATAGGTTTTTGAGATGTGCAAATCATATAATTCACATCTGTGTTTATCAATAAAGTTTTATTGGTACACAGCCACGGGCAAGCTGAGCTGTGATGTCCTGGTCTCTTGGAGACTCGGACTGCAGACCGCCGAGCCTTCCCAGGCCCCAGAGTGGGCCTGTGCTCTGTGGCTGGGTCTCTAAGTGGCAGCATGGAACAAGCCCCTCCCCAAAGAGCCCCTCACTTCAGCTCTGCCCCCAAACCTCATCACCACCTCCTTCACCCAAAACGCTGCTCTCAGAATAGCTGGGAAGGGCATAAGCAGAGCCTGGCGCTGTGCTCGCAGATGGTACGTGGACAGCAAATGGACGGTGGAGAAATTTAGACTCAAGTGTGAACATCTAATAGGCCCGGCCTTTGTCTCTCCGCCCACCTAAGGCATCTTCCTTGCCTTTTCTGTTGTCGCTGGTGGTCTGAGGCATGAAGAACGATGTTTCTAGCAGCTCGCTTCCCTCCCTCTGCTTCCCCCAGCCAGGGGGAGTCCAGTTCATGGGCTCTGCCCTTCCTCGGGGACTCCGACCTGGTGTCATGTTATTCATTCTAGCAAATCTTTGAAGAAGCCCGAAGCGCATATTCCATTTCCTTTGCCTGCTGTGCAGGAAGAAAACCCAGGGGGCTTTGCAGAGAGACGAAAACACAACTTCTCGGCTTCCAAGGCCTCCCAGGAACAGGAGCCCACCGCCTGGGCGGGAGACCCCCAGACCCCATGGCATGGGGGGGACGCCAGCCCCACCAGGGACTGGTAATTCCAGGCCGTCTGGTCATCTCCTCAAGCTCTTAGCATTTACAGCGAAATCACAAGTGAGTCTCTTGCCAGATCACTGAATTAGCAAACATTAAATAACACCGTGTGTGAAATGCCAGCTCAGACATTCCGGGCGCAGAGGCCCTCACCGGGCTACCCCGGAGCACTGTAGGATTTTGGGGAGCGAAGCCTGGGGAAATAAAGCGTTTTCTCCGTCAGGGAATCAGCTCCGCAGCCTCCTCCCTCCTCTGGCTTCGGGAGGTTTTAAAACCGGCAATGTAAGGAAAGATCTCAGGCCTGAGTTCCCTGGCGGGAGGTCCCTTTCCCCTCCCAGAGGGAGAGCTAACAGATGCTGATAGAGTCTTTGGAGAGAGACCAACACTTTGAGTTCTAGGGAGGGGAAGTGAGAGGAAGCTTGCAGTTTTTAAGAACTCGGTAAGTACTGGCAGCCGTGTGGATGTCCTGGAAGGGAGGAGCCCTGGCCAGGTCTCTTCTGCTATGCTGCGGGGAGGGGAGGGGAGGGAAGGGAAAGGGCGGGGAGGTGGCATCTCTCAAAGGCTCCCTCCTGGGATGAAGCTGCCTTTCCTGGGGGCTCATTGGTACCTGGTTCACAGTGTCCCTTGCAGGTGTGGCCTGATGACCTCCACTCCTGTCCACCCATCAGGAGCAGGACTGGGCCCTCCTGTGTCACTGGGGGTCTGCTGTGTCCTCTGCAGGTGAGACCCTCCGCAGTGAGCCCAGGGCCACCCCGATTATCCCAGGACACACTAGGCACCAGGCAGGGGCTGCCTGGACATGAGTGACCTAAGTGACCTGGGCCGGTGCTATTCTGAGCCTGGCGGGTGTCCTCCCTCCTCCACAGAGCTTCTGAGATGTGGGCGCTGTCCCTTGGCCAGCCCAGCAGATCCCCATTCCACGCCAACACCAATGTCCACCCCCTCTGCCTCACCATGCTCTCTGTCCACACCTGAGCCGTTCAGACCAAGGCAGGGCAGTCTGCCCAGCGCACCGGCCACGGTGGCCTTGCTGGGCTCCACGTCCACAGAGGCAGCATCTGTGTGTGCAGGTGTACACACTGGGCCTGGGCCAGCTGCTCACAGGGCGCCTGGGCCACAGGTCTGAGGCTGCACACAGGGCGCTGGGCGCCTACAGCAGGAGCTTGGGATGTATATGTTCCTGCCTGTCCGGCGAGAAGTCTCTAAGGATCGGCCTCTGCGGAAGCCGCAGTTCCGAGGCACACTGAGCGGTTTTCTTGGGTGGGGATGGCTGCACACAGTCTGATTTTCCTAATTATTCCCCAGACATCAGATGCTTGCAGGGCAGGAGAGGTGAGGTGTGCAGAGGGGGTACCCTGAGATGCAGGCTGGGGACCCACTGGGTGGGGACCCAAGTCTGACTTCTCTCCACCTCTCACCCAATGCCAAGGGAAGAGGAGGGCACCCCTCTTTCAGCCCAGGTGGCCAGAGTGTCACCTGCGCCCGGGGAAATCCTCCGACTGTGGCTGAGAAGTGGCTGCTTCACCAGAGGCTTCTCAGGAATAAATTCTGGGCTTGCTCTGAAAACCCGATTCCACGTTGATACAATTTAGTTCTATGAAACTGCAGCAAAGCCGCCCCCCAGGGAAGCCAAGGCTGATTCCTGGGTGCCAGGGACGGCTGCTGGCAGGGGGCGTGGGGTGCCAGGCTCCCGATGACGCTGAGAGAGCTTCCTTCCCCCTGCAGCAGCATTTGAAAACATATTTGCTTTTGTGGTTTTGAGAGAGGGTCTCATTAACGTAGCCCAAACTGCCCTTGACGTTGCAATGATGCCCCTGCCTCAGTTTCTCCAGAGTTTGGGTTACAGCAGTACCCTGCCCCGCCCAACTGTAATCACATTTTGGAAAGTGGGGTTTGGCTTGTCTCTGCAGGGTTCAGTTTAGCCATCACCCAGTAAAAACAGAGAATTCTCTGTCCTCGGGGAGGGGCATCCCCGGCTGAGCATTCTCACCCTCTGTCCTTCAGCCTGCAGGGACCCATGGCATTTGCCAGCGAGCCCTCTCCCACCTCTCCTGGTCAGAGTCCTCTGCTTGAGGTTTGGGGTGAGCCAGGCATTGGGGCTGGGGGCGTCAGTATCCTGAGTTTGAGGGTCCAGAAGTGGGGGTCAGCACAGTGCATCAGATTCTCCAAGGCCAGAGTCTGCCTGGGCTGGATGACAGTTTCTCTCCTGGATTTAATTAATTCATGAACTTCTTTATATTTATATACATATTGGGTTATTAAATTTAATTAATGTTTTGAGACAGGGTCTTGCTGTATGTAATCTAGGCTGTCCTCAAAGTCTTTGGTGATCTTCCTGCCTCAGCTTCCTGAGTACTGGGACTGTAGGTGTACACCTATACACACACACACACACACACGTACATACCCACATGGACAAAGCCACAGAAAGACAGAGCGACAGGGCGAAACTGCCAAGATGGTCAGCAAATCACTGAAACTCTGCACAGGGCTGGAAGAGGTCACTCAGGGGCTCCAGAAAGGAATCGGTGCAACTGGGCCCTCGCTTTGCATTTCTGCCCTGAAATGTGGGGGAATCAGCTTGAGGCGATCTGGGCTGCCCAGGATCCGAGGCCAGCATGTCGTCCTCCCCACCCATGGTCCCAGTTACCTGGGTCAGACAGAGTCCCAAATTCCAGAAGTAAACAAGTCACCAGTGTGACAAGAAAAAAAAAAAAAAAAAAACTATAGAAGGAAAAATGGAACAAGGTTTTGTACATAAGGATGGGAAGCCGGGGTGGTGGCACACGCCTGTCATCCCAGCACTTGGGAGGCTGAGGCAGGAGGATCCTTGTGAGTTTGTGGCCAGCCTGAACTGCATAGTGAGAGCCTGTCTCCAAAGAAGAAGTATCAGCAGCAGCAGCAAGGCATGTCACGTACGGATACGAGTTGCTTAAAGTGAGTGTCACCATGTGCATGTAAAATGTGTCCATAAAATTAAAAAGAGACAAAAAAAATTGCAGGCTCTCGGGAGCTCCGCTCCATCCTGCCCAGGCTGTGGTCACCTCTTGTCCGGAGAGGGCCTGTCTGGTCCCAGTGGCCATCACAGGGCTGCGTGCTTGTGTCGGGGATGCTTACTGTATTCATCATGGTCTCCAAGGCTGAGGAACCCCAAAGGACAGATGGACACTGCTGCGTGGCAGACAGACCTCACTGGGGCCGGCGTGGCCCTGGGCCCCGGCCTCCAGGGAGCTGGGAGTGTGGCTGTGCTTGTCTCCCTCTTCCCTTACTGAAGAAAAAGGGGAGTCATCTAGTCCTGCCTGGCTCAAGCCCTTTCTTTTATGTCTCTCTGCTGTCTCCCCAGTTTCTCCCCCATGCCCTGACCACCCTCCCCCCAGTCTCTGGGGTGCGTACTGCGCTGAATCCAAGGGGTTCACTGCGGGGTGCAGGCCCAAAAACACCCATGGGAGCCAGACCCCCTTGGCACATGCACCCCAACGCTGAGGTAGGTGGAGCGCAGTCTGTGCAGCCTGTGCTCTCTGATACTGCTATCTTGGGGTGAGCCACCCGCCACCACCCCGCTGCCACCAGCGGCACCCAGGCAGGATGGCCCTCAGCGCCTGCTTCCAGCCCTGGGCCACCAGAGCCCCCATTTGCTCCTGGACGGAGTCTCCTGGGCTTCCCCAGTCCAGCATCCACAGTTGGCCGTGGACAGCCTCAGGGAACAGTGTGGTCACAGCCGGGACCCCGTTCTGTCCCCCCTGCCGATCCCCAGCTGCCTTCTCGCCTAGCCGGACGCCCCACAGCCTGGAGGCCTGCTCCTGGGCACCCCGCATTGTACTTCCAGGGGTGTCTCCAAGGACACTCCTGAGGTCCCCCGGAGGGCAGCAGGGGTCGCCCAGCCCCACCAAGTCCTTCAGCCCAGAGTGGAGGCCCGTCCAGGTCCTGATGGGCGCTCACGGCCGCGGGCACACGTGTGTGGCCGCACAAAGGGGGCTCCGGGCAGGCGCGCTGGGGGCGCAGGGGCAGGCTGGCGCTGCTCAGGGTGCCGCCCCGGCCGGCCGGTCCTGGTCCCCGCCTCGTGCAGTCCGGGAGGCGGGACGCCGGCCCTCGGCGGGCGGGCGGGCGGGGAAGGCGGAGCCCTCAGGCCCCTCCCCGGCCGGCGGGCAGCCGGCAGCTTCAGCGACCGGCCACCCCGCCGCCCATGTCCTCCGCGCCGCCGCGCTCGCCCACCCCGCGGGCCGCCAGGATGAAGAAGGACGAGTCCTTCCTGGGCAAGCTGGGCGGCACCCTGGCCAGGAAGAAGAGAGCCCGGGAGGGTGAGTGCGCGCGACCCGGGGACCCCGCGACCTCGGAGCTGGGGAGCTGGGCGCGGCCCCTGCCTGTCCCCGGGACTCTGGACCCCACCCGGGGCGCGTGTCCTGGGTGCTGTCGCCCCGGGGCCATCGCGGTCCTTGGTGCCCACCCTGGCCCGGCTGCGCAGCCTGGGCGCGATGCTCCGAGCAGGAGGAGGCGGATTTGGGGGCGCAGGGCCTGCGGGCGGGGGGTTCCAGAGGCCTCCCGAGTGTCTTTCCTGCGCCCCCGGAAAGAATCCTTGTACGCAGAAACTTTCTCGGAGTTGCGAGGAGCAGAACTTCTGGCGCCCCGTGCGCTCCGGGCAGCCTGGGCAGCCTCCCCCGGCCTTCCTGCCCCTCCATTGTGTCCACCGCCCCGGCGCCTCCCTGGGACGCTGCCTGGTGGCGGCTGCCACGGGAGGACGGGAGGGGCTGCAGAAGGGGAACCCCGGGGCCGCCCTCTGGCCTGCGCCCTCGGGACACCTCCCGGCTGGGGGAGCGAGGCTAGCCCTCAGCCACCTGGGCCTGACTCGTGCTGGACACCAGGCCCACCCCCACCTCCCTGGGGTGCTGTGTCCCCAGGGTGTGCGGGCCTGGGGTGCACAGGGTGTGTCCCCTCCCAGCTGCTCTGTTCTTGGAAGGCATACCGTATTCCTTGGAGGCTCCAGGGGCGATGGCTCAGCAGCCTAAGGCCTGCCTGGCAAGCACAAGGTTCTGAGTTCGATTCCCAGTACAAAGAAAAAGTTACCTAAAGGTGGTCCCAAAGTCCCCGACCAGAGAGGCACGCCCCGGAGGTGCTGGGCTCACATGTGAGAGGCCAGGACAGCCCTGGCACCCAGCGGTGAGGCCCGGCCTGGCATGTGTGGGATTCGAGGCACCCACTGCACTGTACCCCAGGGAACGACAGCCCCGGGGACACCGAGGACCTCCTGTCTCTGCGTTTCCAGCTCCCCGAGGAAGTGGACCAGTGGGTCCTCAGGGCGGGGCCTGGCTGCCCTCCTGGGCTTGACGCCCAGTGGATCAGCCATCCTCTGCCCGCTCCTGTTGACTGACACGTCGCCCCTTCCCAGCTGACGTCTTCAGCAGAAGCCCTTTCAGTTCCTCTTTCAACCGCAGGACAATTACTGATTTAAATGAGGTCCCCTCCCTGCAGCCTGTTTCCTTTTGTTTTTGCTTTGTTGTGTTGCCCAGCCTGACCTTGAACTCCGGGGCCCACGGGATCCTCCTGCCTCAGCCTCCTGTTGAATATCTGCTGTGGTCTTCAGGGGCGAGAGCCACTGTGTGTGTGTGTGTGTGTGTGTGTGTGTGTGTGTGTGTGTGTGTGTGTGCCGGGGCAGTCACACAGTTCCCAGCGAGGTGATGTTTGTGTTGGGACCAGAAGGAGCCGCAGGAAGAATTCTTCACTGAGACAGCCAGAGCAGGGGATGTGCTGGACCGCGGGAGCTTTTTATAGGTGACATTTCACCTAATGGCCTGGACTCAGGTTCCAGGGCCAAGTGCTACCGCCCGCAGGCTCCTGAGCAGGGACAAAGCCTGGTTTAACCTAAGCGCTGCCAGCCCAGGAGGGGGACCCTTCCTGGAGGACAGGACAGAGGCAGGGGGAGCCAGATGGTGCCCTGGGTGGTGGTCCGCACCCTCTGCGGCTCAGCTGGGCCCTGGCTGCACTCTCCAGGTTGGGGTGCCTGGTTTGCATGGGAAGGCACAAGACCACGACCCTTTCTGGGGCTCAGAGGCAGCAGCTGAGCTCAGGACTGGGGTCCTGGCTTCCCTGGGGTCCTCTGGGAGGTGGGAGGAGCTTGGTAATGAGGCTTGAATAACCCAGAGAGTGGAGAGCTGCAGATCCCGCCCCTGGTTGCCTTGGCAACCCGCCCTGCCACTCCAGGGCAGGAGCTGCTCCAGGCCTGGCTTCTGGCCCGGCTCTCTAAGCCTTTGCCTGCTGGGTGGGCGAGATGATGGGGAGAGGGCTCCAATCCGCCTGGATTGCTCACTTCCTCCTTTGCTAGAAAGCCCAGGAAGTGGATGTGACTGCGGCCCTGCCTGGACGTGGGAAGGAGGGAGAGGGGGAAGTGGCCAGTGGTGAAGGTCAGGTCAGGAGCCCACAGATGCCTGGGCACCAGCTGCCTAGCAGAGGCACAGCAGAGGGACAGACATGCGGGTCGCGGCTGGGAGCCGTAGGGCTGTGGGGTCAGGAGGAACCAGCCGGAAGTGTCTGACAGTGACCTTCACCATGTGCTGAAGGGTGATGTCCCCCGGGAGTCACATGGTGGCCGGGTCAGAAAGGGGAACTGTGACCTCAGGCGAGTAGAAAATTGGAAGGGAGCGCTTAAAACACCCCAGAGCACCCCACAGACAGGCTGGGAGCCCAGAGGACCATGCATCAGAGAGGGAGCCAGCCCTGCTGGAGATCTCCGGAGCAGGTGCAGAGGAGGACACCCCCCCCACCCCAGGGCCAGGGTGAGGCTGGGGACACTCATAGCTGCTGACCCATGAGAAGGAGCAGGGAACACAGCCCCGCCCACCCTCAGGGCCGCCCCTTCCGGTGCTGGACGTCCCCGGCCAAGCGGGCCTTGCCATGCCAGTGACCGGTGACCCGTTGACCCGTGACTGGCCAGGCTCTGTAGTATTTGCAGAAAAACCCTAAAACGTTCCTGTTCCCAGTTGCCCTGGAAAGGACATAAGATGGAACAGGGTCTCTGTGTGACAGAGGGACATTCTACAACTCTCGCCCTGCCCGGTGTCCCCCGCTGAGCTCCTGTTAGGAGCCTGAGTCCTACTGAGGGAGAGACGGCTCCTGAGCGGGGCAGGAGGGGACCCGGAAAGCGGGCTGTGATCCTCGTGGAGGTGCGGTCCTTGTCTTCATCCCGAGGCCTCAGGCAGAGGCACCCCCAGCTGTGCGGAGTCCTGGTCCTCTGCCCTGATTCCTCCGGTCCCGAGTGGCTGCCTGGAATGTTCCTACCGGGCTCAGCTGTCCATGCTAAAAACACACAAAGGCACACAAGGACAGGCGCCATGCTGTGTGGTTAGGCAGAGACACTGGCAGTGTCATCGATGTGCTGGCGCCTTCCGGTCATGGCGTAGCCCCGGTCGGCCCAGCCCCAAGGTGCTTAATTAACCCCTGCTCTGTGACAAGGTCACCCGGAGAGGGGTGCTGTATAATCCCCCCTGCAAGGCAGGGGTTCCGCCTGCTGCCAGCCCCACCCCTGCTTTTGTGGTAGAGGAGACACAGGCTCCCCGCTCCCAGTGCACCCTAGGGGTTCCCAGTGGGGATGATTCTGTCCCCAGGGTGTGCAGAGGCTTGGTGGTCGCCCCTGTGGGGAGTCTGCCCAGCATGTGAGATGGACCCTGGGAATGTCCACAGTGTCCTGTCAGGACGCATCCCAAATGTCGCTTCATGCTCCGGAGGGGACGCCCTGCTGTTGTTTTGATTTTAGTTGCTTTTGGTATCGGGAATTGAACTCAGGACCTTGCAATTGCCAGGCAGCGGCTGTGCCTCGAGCTCTGTCCCTGGCTCTGCTGCGGTTTCCTGCAGCGCCTTAACCCAGCAAAGCTGATAGCCAGGGTGGCCGGGGGGAGCCCTGGACTCCCCAGTGCCCAGCCTGAGGCTGTCAGTTCAGTTCCTGGACTGGGGCCTCCACAAGGCCGCCAAGGTCCGGCTGGCTGGACACAAAGACCTGTAGTGGGCAGCCCTGCGAGAGGAAGCAGCCTGCATCTGGGGCCTGGAAATACACCCAAACCCTCCAAGTCGCAGCTGGTCCTGGATTGGGGCAGGGGAGGCCAGTTTGTGCCTCTGTCCCTGGACCCCAGGGTGCTCCTGCAGCGGGGTGGGGTGGGGTTCAGGTATGGGATGCGATCAGAATACCCAGCAAATGCTTAGATTTAACGAAACGTCACAGTGAAAGACACATTGCTATGAGTACCCCCAAAATCCTCCCCTCGCTTCTGAGACCATCACCCCATCCTCAGAGCGCCATCCTACGGAAAGGCAGACTCAGAAAAACACCGTGCCGGGTCCTTGTCCACCTTAGTCCTGGGCTCCGGCACCGCATGGCTTCCAGCTCTGCCCAATGTCAAAATGGGATCGATTCAGGACATCGCAGCAGCCACAGCAGCGACACTGAAGGCCCTGCAGAGCGGGGACTCCAGCGCTGCTGGGGGGAGCGGGGAGAGCGGCCGGGATGAGTGGGCTCGGAGCCGGGGGAGGATTTTGAGGGCCAGTGCGTGTTAAGAGTTTTTAAACATGTGAACCTTCCTGGGAAAATTCACTTACACCTGGGAGGAGCTGAGACAGGACCCTGCGGTGTCCAGTTGTCTGGGGAGCCCAGGGTTCTTGGACCCTTGGGGGTCATCTGCAGGCTGGGGGCTGGGGCGCCAACCTGCCTGGGTAGGTCGCAGGGGGCCGTAGGGGGACTGAGATCCCGGGACCGAGACCTGGATTGGGGACGGGGTTGTAGCTGGAGGACGCAGTCCAGGTTGAGTGAAGGGCAGCTGTGATCCTGGAGGCCCCAGCCCGGGCCGGGCTTCCGTGTGTGTGAGCAGGGGTGACCGCTGGGACCCGCAGTGTGCAGTGTCTGGAACCTGGGGTGGTGAGGAACGGGCACCGGTGTGGGCACAGGCAGGGTCACCTCCGGGGCAGTGTCAGCGGGCCGGGGAGAAGCGAGTGAGGTTTCTAGAATGTTCCATGGGAAGGAGGAACGCTTCCTTTTTCTCGTTTTTCTTCTTCCTTTTCCTTTGTTTAAAGCTTCTCTCTCTCTCTTCCATTCCCCCCTTTCCTTTCTTTCCCTTTCCCACCTTCCTGCCCGTGCCGGGGTGCAGGCCAAGCCCTCAGCCCAGCGTGCCCGCCCGGGGGTGCAGCGGGACTCCTAGGACTCCTGGGTCCACTGTTTTTCCACGTCTGGCCGGGAGGAAGCGGGTGGCACTCGGGGCAGCCTGGTGGGGCTGGCCAGACTTCCTCTGATTATTACCGGGCTGCAATCTCAGGACGCAGC